ATGACGGAGGGCAGCACCCGTGAAATTCGTGAATGTCTGTGTCAGTCCAATATGGTGAAATGAAAATAATCAGATTATCAAAATTATCTGGCGGGGCAGATATTATTTGCCACAGGCTGCCAGTAGCTGATCACTGCTGTAGTTTATCTGAGGACGTAGACAAAGATTCAACTACATAGATAACACTTAACGGTGTGAAGTTGATAAGATGAATGATTTTCGAGGTATGTGTTCCACAGACAGACAGACAGACGATTGTGGTATAAGTAGGTAGAATCAGTGCTGAATCACTGGAGTCCTTCTTTAACCTGATTGTTAGAGTAATATGAGCAAGTTATTGAAAACAAATATCCTACAATTTGACGAGTTCTTGTAAAAGAAAATATACAATAACATTAAAAAATCATCTTTTGAATTTGGAAACTGGGCACAAAAACTGTTTTAATTTAATGTAAACCGCTCAGTAATCAAAGTGCCAAAACAGTTGACCATGAAAAGGAATCCCAGGCTAAACTTTGAACATGTGGGAGATTGATTTCAGCATCAGCTGTCACTGAGTGTTTCCCTTGAACATCAGCCTCTCTTATTGTTTGAAATACAAATTACCACACTGAAGCCAACCACACATGGATGATTTACATTACAACTCAACACGTAGGTCACACATGTCCTCAGGCTTCCAAGCCTCTCACCTCAACACACACACACACCAGTGCCACATTACCACCAACATTTCCTCATTACCACATACACGTCCGTATGCATAACATATACAACTCACACATGTCCCTCTTGTATGTTGATTCGTGAAAACCCAGATGCCATGTGTGCAGCTTCTACAGTGACTGATGAAAACCTTTAAGCACTGTGTGGTTTCGGGCTGTTGAGGGCTGCATAAATGTAAATTCATTGTGTTTGAGATCATTCCTGTCTGGGAATTTATTCACACAAACAACCTGTTGTTCCTTGATCCTGCTTCTTAAATCACCATCACCCTCATCAGGTGCAGTAGATCTGATGAGGCACATGGAACTACTTTTTCCTGACTGAACATAGCTGGATCAACGGGATCAGGTGTTGTTTTGTTGGTAGATGTGTGTGTGTGTGTGTGTGTGTGTGTGTGTGTGTGTGTGTGTTGGGAAGGGGGGTATGTGCAGGAGATGGAAGCTAATCAGACTAACAGATGAGCCTATATCCTGTTCTCACACATGCTGGCCTGCATGGACCACACTTGCTGCACTTTGTATTTGTGTGTGCGTGTGTGTGTGTGTTGAAACAATGGCACTGCTGTTTGCCCGTCCGCCACTGCTGCTGTAGTTGCCTTACACCTGTGCTTGGCAGCCCCCCAAGAACCCATCCCCAACACACACACACACAAACATAACCACAATCTACCCACCTCCACCCCCAGCCCTCAACTCTCAACCGTGCACACACACCCCAGTCCACTTTAGTTCTCATTTTACATCCTACGTAAGCTTTTAGTGCTGCACTACAAAGAACAATACATATTCAACAGGCTCGCCAGCTCAGATAATGCACGTGTGGCCCCTGGGGCACATCTTATCATTTCATATCAACATGGAAGAGGGACGATATCAGAGCTTTCTTCTTATCCCTGCTCTACCTATTTTCCTCTAACTCCACTCATCCCAGTGCCCAGACCCATCTTACTCCTGCTCATAACTGAGAACAAGGACTGAAGTTTGAGTTATCATTTGTACATTTGCAAGTTGTTGAGAGTGTGCATGTGAGGCTCTGTACGTACCAGTGTTGCAGTGCTGCACTGATAAACCACTATGCTACAAGGTTCAACTGTAGCACAGTGGTACACACCTGGTATTAACATCTGTCCTGAGAGATCCCACCAAGTGACCAGTGTCAAGTACGTGTGTTCACAACTTAAAATTAGTCCTGGATGTGTCTCCTGTGACCGGATCTCACTTCCCAGCTCCACATGGAACTTAACATGTACATCATTTGTGTTAGTTAAGACCAAACAATATTGTTTCGAACCAGTCTGAGTTTACACATGTGTCCCATGTCACTGTGTGTGTGTGAGTGTGAGTGTGAGAATATGTCAAATTGGAAAGACAAGATTCTAGGATTTTGTTGAGTAGGGCCGACGCTAGTGTCAGTGAGCTGTGAACAAAAACATGTGATCTCCTGCTGCATTTTTTAATATGTGAAAAGCAAACTCTGGAGAAAGCCCATACCCCATTGTGCGGATATTCTCTGGAGCTGAAAACGGCTTATAAGAACAACTGTGCATTCATGGTATGTGTGTCCGCAACTTTGTATATTGAGGCCTTAGCTGTGAGAGGGTAAAGGGCACATTAGGCTAGTTTTGTACTTTCCACGTCCACTAGTGATGTAAATGTCATCATCACAATGTGCATGCACGGCTCTGTATAGAAGTACATGTACCCGCCAATCTCATGGGCACCAACTGCACATTGTCACCACCAAGCAATCTCCAAGTGCTCTAGAAAGTTGTATAATAAGGACCGCTATGTGTCCATGGTGTCCACTGCTGCCAATGTGCACGTTCACAGGGGAGTATATAATTGAGGCTTTGGGGTGGCTGTGGAGGCGAGAGTGGGCGGGAGAGTGGTTGGATTTTAGGGGTTCAAAAGCTCACACAGAGCCCTGGCGTTCTTCAGTGGTTTGTCTTTGTGAAACTGGAGCCCCCAGAAGGCACGAGGGGGGGGGGTTTGGGAGGATGGGCGGGTGAGTAGGGGGTGATGGGGGGTCTGGGACAAAGCCTCGACCAGCAGACGCCCACCTCTTTTCCCGCAGTGTCAGTGCCACAGGTGTGTCAACGACAATGCATGTGGGTGTTTGAGTGAGCGAGAGCCACGTCCAATCAATGACACACTGTATTGTAATCATCTATTGTGGAGACAAGACTGGTTCTCAAAGGTAAACACCATTAGGAACCAGGTTCAACCTTTTGCCTAGAGCATTGAATTCAGTGGAATACAGGACGGAGGGGTAGAGTGGGAAGCAACATGTAAAGCACAGCACCTCCTCATAGCTTCCATAGCAGTTGCTCAACATTTTACCATAGTAACACTGGGCAACAGACAATGAAAGTTAGTCCGATAAAGCTGGACAGAGAATTCCACTCAGCACCAGTTGCTAGGTGAAGGACTTTTTTAATTCCCCATATTCACAGTGAACTCCCTTCTCCTGCTCCCACATGCCCTCCTGAGACTGAAAAACTAGATTAAACATTTTTTGTCCATGACTCGACCAAAGCTCTATCTGCACGGTTGGCAGGGTGCAACATATTTGGGATATTTCCCATAAATTATGAAGGGCTATCAGTGGGCCAGCTGTACTCTTGAATTCTGGCATTCAGACTAGCTATTATGTTGATATGAATACATCTCTCTCCGCTTGTCACAATGATTCCACCTCTGTAAGTGGGGATGCTCAGAACAAAGACGTGTCAAGTAAAGCGGCTCACGCTCCATTTTTCCCTCCTCGGGCCCATTCAGTGTGGCAAACAATTCAAAATCAATATCCCCATGCAAATGATTCTTGTGCCTTGCAGGCAGCTTCATGGCCAGGTAGGAAAAACTGGAACCACGGGCTCCTTTAAGTATATTGTATACTGTCCCTTTATTTTTTGTTTGCTGGATGTTGTGCTAGCAGAGAGAAAATGTTTAAGTCAATGTTTTTCATGGAATGAAACTGAATTCGCTGTATTACTGTTTACCCATGCTAACTTTATATAAGTTTGAATGATTTTCTTAACTGCTGTTATTTTTTCATACATTGCTGTTAAGCAATTGACACAAACTGCAGACCCAATTTTTCAAAATAAAAGTTCTGTAATTCAGCTTGATATAAAACATTTCTGCAACAAAACTTTTACTTTGGGGACAATTTGCTAAAGAAGTGATTCTGTGAATGTTGTTGCCATGATGAAGATCTGCTCCTGCAACACCCATGAATGTCTTTGTCAGTCCATATGGTGAAATAGAAATAATAAGATTATCAAAATGATCTGGCAGCGATTCTGGTTCAATCCAGTAGTCGACCACTGCTGTAGTTTATCGGAGGATGTAGAAGAAGACATGTTCAACTCAGTCCACAGACGGAAGGCACACTGCCCCACCCCACTGACTGTTACAGTGCGCTGGTCACCTGTTTGTTCAAATTGTATTAATATGGTCCCAGTCACACATGAGCAATTGTTTCAGAGGCAAATCTTCTCAATCGATCATTTCAAATCAGTGGCGACGAGGAGGCGATTAAAACATTCACTTCCTGCGGTGAGGCAAGTTGCAGATTGGCTTAGTGTGGAGTTCAACTTTGGTGAACTTTGACCTGCTGTATTCACTTCTCTGTGTCACTATCCATTGCAGATGAAGCCTACATGCTTTTTATATACAGTCTATGCCTGCATGTCAGTGGTAAATACTGTTGTCCATCACAGATAATGGTTTTAAATTAAATATTTGACAACAGTACATTATTTCTCCTAGGTTCAAACAATATTTGCAAATGTCCTCTGGGTTTCTCATAGATTTACTTATCTCTTTATTTATCAATTCAGTCACTTCAGTCACACATCACCGTGTTATTCCATAAACCTCCTTAAGTGCAGGCTAATAACCATATCCAGTGATTATAGCTCAATCTAAAATAATCCGTTTGTTGGACAACTAAGTGCAGTAGTTTCTATGGCTTGTTTCAGGTCATATATATTTGTTATATATCAATACAATAATGGAAAATGGAAACCGAAATGTGGAATTGAAAATAAATTGCATGAATCACACTTTACCTTTTCGATTTGTTGACATGCGCTTGACACATGTGCGTAAAAGCTCGAATTTCCGACGGTCCCTAAAGGCTGCATAAGTTTCTCATGTGCCACCACCCCCACTCCTCCACCCCCGATCCTGACACACACACACACACACACACACACACACACACACACACACACACACACGCACACAAACACACACACATGCGCGCACACACACACACACAAACAAACACACACACATTCCAGCAGGAGGAGTCCGTGACGTGCCGCCCGTTTGTGAATGAGCAGCAGCGCAGCACTCCGCTCAGAGCAGAGTCTCAGCCAAGCCCAGGAGCGCAGAGAGAGCGAGAGGAAAAGTTTGCCAAATGGATTTCTTTGGAGGAGTCAGACCTTTATTATTTTCTTATGTACTCATTAACGGTATACTCATCACACTGCAGACCAAAGAGGGTGAGTGCCTGTTACTGATTTTTAAAGAAAGTTCTTTAACTTCAACCTGAGGGCTGAGAGTTTATTGAAGTGAAGCACGCGTGCCATGCGGAGTAAGCTCCTTCAGGACATCTTTCAAACCAGGAAACATTGTCCCTTACACTTGTGACAGTGACATTGTGTCTCGAAGTCTTATTCCACGACAGCACTGTTCATGTTCACAAGTGTTTCTATAGTTGTCCTTCGTTTCCTTATTGATGATCTATTGATTCGAGAGTGTAGTCTGCATGTGCGCTCCTCTGAGCTTCCCAACACCAGCAGGTGAATTCTTCTGGAGAAAGTTTGTGAATCACACTGTGTCCTTGTATGAGCTTTGTATATGCAGTGTTTTACACAATTTGACATCCGCATACCTAAGTAACCTGAACAAAGCGTACCTAATTACAGTATAGCTGAGTAAAAGTAATGTATATGTATAAGTAACGAAATAATTATACATGTACATATATAAGTATAGCTGTAAGTAATGAGGCTACATTTGCCAAATAAAGTTAAAACTAAATATAAGCCTACATCAAGAGTTTCAAATCCCTTTTTTTAAACTAAAAAAACTGCTTGTGTTAAACAGCCATTTGAATAAATTCAAGTAGTGATTACATGATTTAAGCTTTGGAGTGATTGTGCAACAAACTTGAACTCACTGTCATTACTACATGATTTTACATCCGTGAAATATATACCCTTATTTATAATTTTGATCTTTGTTTATGAGTTTAAATGTTTATTCTCAAGTACTGACAGTGTCCTCATGTCCCCACAGAGGTTCTTTTGGATATGAGGGCAACAGGAGGTGAACTGGGCTGGTTGACATGGCCCGTAGATCAGGGAGACAAGCCTGGGGTGAGTATTGCTGCGTCCCCCTCCTCCTCAATCTCCCACTTTTCACTTGGAATTTGCCTTAGGATAAATGCGCATGAAGAAAATGCGCAGGAAAAGCCCAGATAAACAGAGAGCCTCCAGTACAATACTGACTGATTGACTTGTGGGGTCGGCTGATCGGTGGAAATTGTGTGTGTGTGTGTGTGTGCATGTCAGGTTTCTATAAAATCTGGCAATTAGTGCCTGATGGTTGCTTGGGTCTGGATGTGAGAGGCAATGGTTGGATCCTATTAGAAGTTGCCTGCAGAGCATGTCTGGACTGCACCAAACCTAAAGCAGACAGAATAGCTGCTAGCGCTGAACTGGAAATACTTGTGGCTTCTTGTGGTTTCAAGGCTTCAGCTCTAGAATTGTATGTTAGAGGGCAATTAACTTTTAAAGTTTGCAGCATGTGGTACCTCTTTCTAGAGGGGGAAGGGTTTTAGACGGCGTTAATCAGCCAGAGCTACCTTTTCCGTAAACCGTGGTAAAACCTCTATGTTCAGAGATGTGTCTAGAGAATAATACAACACTGTGGTTATCCCTCAGTATACAGGAGGCTTGTGTGACTTTGTCTGTGTTGCAGTTTCAAAGAAACTACCCAGTCGAGCTCATGCAAATGTTTTGTAAATAGCCTCATTTCATATGCAGATGACTCAGGCATGTGCAGAGGGGCTGTTTACAGTGGCTCACCCTACTTTTCTCAAAGAGGTTTCTCTGCTTAATTAATCACTTTAAAGCCAAGTTTCACTTTAGCATGGTGTTGTTATATTTTTAAAAGTTCAATGGAAACACTATTACAGTAATGTATACTCATGTTACTACCATCGCTTATGACAATTATTATTTTAAGTTTTAAAGGCCCCTCATAAACTGTTCACCAGCTGTTTAATAGAGGTGTTGGTCCTGCTGTTGTACATCAAGTTTATATGCAGAGCCACACACTCAGCCAACAAAGCACATTTCTTTGATTAAAAGCACAGTCTCTGCCACTGTGAGGACCAGTTGTTCCCCAAGAACCAAGGTTATAAGTTAAAAGACACAGTGGATTTTTGTTTAATAAATATCTTTGCTATCATTTGATGTGCGAGCTTCGACACATCAGGGCGGATACCAACCATAGCAATGGCATGCGAAGAAAATAATTTGGTATCTTTGCAATGTCAGACATTCTTTCCCACACACAGTCCAGGCTGTAAATGCTGATAAAGTGGAGTTCTCCATGTTGCAGAAATGTGTTATAGCATTGAAGGGCTACTAAAATATTCAGGGGTAGTAATTAAGCAATGTGTGGAGCCATGGGAGTCCCTTCATGCAGAATGTTTTTGTTTCCAGGTTTAGATTACAGTGGTGGAACTCACATGTGAACTGCTTTGGTCCCTTTTACTTTGGCTTCCCTTATAGCTCTGGTTTAGCCCAGCTTTCTTAGGGGCTCCCATGGGGTCACTGTTCCTACCTCTAAACTTGTTGATCTTTGTGGTTTGTTTCAGTGGGAGGTCGTCCAGAGGACTCTGAACGGCTCCCAGCTCTACACCTACTCCATCTGCAATGTTGGTGAACGTGAGCAGGACAATTGGCTGCGCACCACCTTCATCCAGAGGCGTCCATCGGCTTCACGGGTTTTTGTTGAAATCCAGTTTATTGTGCGTGACTGCAACTCTTTCGATGGTGCCTCACTGACCTGCAAAGAAACTTTCAACCTCTTCACATCTGAGTCGGACGCAGACGTGGGCACTACCTTCCGCAAGGGCCAGTTTAAGAAAGTGGCCACCATAGCTCCCGATGAGATCACCAGCAAAAACGAACTACGCATCAACACAGAGACGCGAGTAGTGGAAAACCTGTCCCGAAAAGGCTTCTACTTGGCTTTTCAAGACATTGGCGCCTGCGCTGCTCTCCTCTCTGTCAGGGTCTACTACAAAACTTGTGCAGCCACAGTGAAGAGTCTTGCAACATTCCCTGAGACCGTGGCAGGAGGTGAAAACCAGGCTCTTAGGGAGGTGAACGGGGTCTGTGTGGATAACGCAGTCAGTGAGGCGCTGCCTCGTATCTACTGCACTGTCGATGGGGAGTGGGTGGTGCCAGTTGGACAGTGTCAGTGCAGACAAGGCTATGAAGAGGTCAAGGATTCATGTCAAGGTAAGGGCCTTTGAATATTTGGTCTTGTTGCCACCAGACATATCATCTTTTAAATCCAGGATTAAGTTGTTTTGAGCATGAGTCATTTTTTAATTTGGCATTGGTCACCTTTTTACCTTAATTTTATTGCCGTAGGTTGTCAAACAAGCTTGAATGTCAGTTTGCGGATATTCATCATAGGTGTTATTATCGTTGTTCAATGGAATTCTCCCCTTGGCTGACACAGCCCCTCTGTGATGGAAGGAATGTTTAGGCTTCTTGTACATGTCACGGCATCCTCCCTGACCTGGAACCGATACCTATAAAATTAGGAAATGCACTTTTGAGTTTGAGGTGTGGATCTAAGCTCAGTGGAAAAGTTTTTTTTCAAGCACAATTTGCTGTGTGCCTAATGGTGTTTAAAGCTATTTTAAGAAGAGGCTATGGAGTAATCTTTTATTTTGGCAACAATCATAACTTGAAACCTTTTAAGCAGTTGTTCAGTGAATACGAAGTCAAGCTCTAACACTTCACCTGTTACAACACCTCGTACTAAACTCCCAGCCTGTTGCATCAGGTGATTTCCTGCTCTGTCATTCTCTTATCTTACATGGATATGGGTGTGCTGCAGCATGTAGCCATCACTCAGTTCTTTTTGACTTTGTAGTTGTGGCGTAGTTGTATGTTAAGCCCCACAAAAAAAAGCCTTTCATTGTTGTGGGAAGGGCTGTCAGTGTGACTGAAAGTGATGAAAGAGGTTGGAGGCTACTGTACTGTGATGGATTAGCATCTTAAACGCTGGTCAGGGGGGGGGGGCAGAAAGCAGAGGCCCTCTTCGTGTGATCGGGCGTGTAACGCTCCTCTCCCTCTTCCCTGTCTGTTTTCACAAATTTGCTGGGCCTCAGCTGTGGGGTGTATTGTGTGACTCAAGCTGTGTATGTGAACATACAACAGGCTGGCATGCAAGGACCTGTTGAGATCTGTTCCATGACAGAACAGCCCAAAGCACTTCTCCTCCTCTTATGCTGCTTTTTTTATTTGGCTCATTTGTACTCACATGCACGCATGACCTGAAACACACTTTACAGGTATAAATACTCATAATCACACCCTGGCACACTCACCTCAGACTACAGTTGTAAATCCAGATGCAGCCTGCTCATACTGGATTTGAGTTCTCTCCAAATCTATCAATGCAACAGGTTGATAGAAGTGATGAAGTTTTCTGTCACTAAGTCATTTCTAGCTGCGGGAAAGTGCCAGGTAAGATGATTAGGGAGGAGGAGGAGAAGTAGGAGAGGCAGGAAGGAGTGAGAGAGAAAAGTCACACAAAAGCATTCGAGAGGTTGTGTTTAGTGGAGGGGTGTGATTTTTTTCTGAAACAGAGAGGTGAGGAATGGAATGTAAAGGTAGGGGGAACAATGAAGAGCTGTGTTTCCCGTGCGAGGCTGGAGGAGCCCACCTCCACCTCCTCTCCCGCTTGGTCGGTACATTCCTGATCAGTTTGCCGAGGAGGAGCCTCCCAGCATTACTCCAGACCTGTGGAATTCCCAGGGGAGGAAGAGCAGCACCACATCAGGCCTCACATAAAATTTACTGAACAAACCCCCCCCCTCCACTGGATGACTAGATGAAGTCAAATGTTGAGTCTGTGAGGCAGAGGGCAGTTGTGTATGAAGGGTGACATGAATCATAGGGCTGCAGTGCAGGTTGGAGTTGTACGGCTCGAAAAAGGCTTTAGATAGAATCTAATACAGACACAGTTAATCATTCTCCCCACTCCTTTCCTGTGCTGCGGGCCGCTGAGGGAGAAACCGCAAAACTTTTGTGGTGCTTTTTGTTCTTACTTGGGTTGAAAGTTTCCATGTTCAGTGATGTGATCGCTCAGTTTTATGGCTCCTCGGCCCCACAGGACCTGTTAAAGCAGAAATCTGTGACTTTATCTGGTTTTCGTCTCCGTCTCGTCATCAGCGCTCACTGCTCTGGTGTTTTTGGCTTCGAGATCACTCGTCCGTCAAAGTGTGTTTCCAGTCTCTGTTTTTCCTTAAGCTGCTCGTTGAGGTATCTGTAGGTGGCATGAGGCACTCCTCTCTCAGAGGCCAACTGTACTCATGTACTAACTTTAGAGCCCTTCTTTCAGACAAACAAAGTCTAAAGATAAAACACATCACTTCCTGTGCCTCACAGGCCCACCAGTGTGTTTAGAGAAGCAAATGTAAAAGCTTTTATGGGCTCGTTGTAAATCAAATCAGTCAGAAGCAAGGCACAGACCAGGCCTTTGTTTTTAATGTGAGCATTACAGACATCTGTAAAGGAGAATTATTTTTGCCCTCAAAATACATCAGTATCAACTGTAAAATGACTGTGAAGTAGAGTAGGCCTGTTGAAAACTGCTCCCAAGATTTATGTTTGTTACCATGATCGTCATAAGACTGGGGACGTTTTTTTGTGTGTTTTTAAAGCTTTTATTCATCTCCCTCCTTTTGGTGCTCTTTTTGATGTGTCTTTGCTTTTTTCTCACAAAACCTTTCTCATACTTTGCCAGCGTCTTTTTAGGTTCTGATGAAATTCAAAGACATCACTCATCTGTAAGAAGCGTTCAGAAGTTTAACTCATGTAAAAATATTTATTATTATTAAAACCGCTGTGTTCAAAATTGTTCTTTAGTGGAAACACAGAAGTCTTGTCAGTCAATGATACCTTTATTATAAAAAAATATCAATAATCAATCATTATTATTATTACTGATTATTGACATAAAATAAGCATTTTAATGTTGTAGCTAGTGATCATTTATTCTGCTCATATTTATGAATTACATAAATTGTAATTCTCAATAGTAATTATATTCAAAGTTATATGTATTTTTTGCTGAAGAATAGTTGTAAAAATTAGCTTATTATAGAAAGTACCAAAAAAGATATATTAGGTGAGTAAATGTAATCTGTGTTACCATTGAAAATAAAAGATGTCAGGATTTCATGCCTTTAATCTCCCATTTCACTCTGGGACTTTTTTTGCAATTAGGTGGTTTGCTTTTAATTCCGGCTGGGTTTCCACTTGTGTATCACTGTTGACACTGAGACAGTTTTCCTCCACTGCCTATCACGCCCTTCCTTACCCATAATCCTCCATGGCACAATAGAACAGCATACTTGTGTCACCCCCACAAAGGACCACTGGCTGCCCCGTCTGGTCCTCGAGATTGTGTGTTACCGTCCAGGTCCACACCTCATCAGCCGCACTAAAGCCTCAACAAATAGGGCTTAATCCCACATTATGGTTTCCACAAGGCTGTGTTTAAAAAGAGAGACACTGGGTGGAATATTTGGACTGCTTAAGGCAGTCTTGGTGTCTTGGAGAAATGGTGTCTTGGTGGAACAACTGTCCACTGAGTTCCAGTAAAGTTATTATTTCTTTCGCCAAAGAGGTTCCAGTAAACGATTTTCCTGAGTCCCCCCCCTTTCCTCTCTGTCCGTGTCTACAAACTCATCCTCAGCTGATGTGTAACAGTTGGTGACTAAGTTGTGTGAGTGTGCAATGTGGTGAATGATTTGTATGGGTAGTAATTGACTTGGGTGTGTTTGTGCTTTTTAAGCAAAGTAACTACTGGTTCTGCTTGCTTTTTTGCCTTTGTGCTGTTCTCTGCGTCTCTCTCCACATCCTCCCTGAAGACTCTTTCTGTTTTAGCCTCAGTTTTCCTCTTGTCTTGTATGTATTTGAGAGTTTCTTATCTCAAGACATAATTCCCATGACCATTCTGCAGTCTTAAATGCAATGCACTCTAGAGAGCTTGTTGCGCAAGCAGCACCAAATACAAACAAAAAGTTTTTTCCTCATGTGTTGTGATCTTGTTGTCCATGAAATCACAGAGCGACTGTTATTTTTGGCTGTATTTTTGGCACAGGTCATGAATATGACACCAATAGAGTTTAAACATCCCGTTTCACACGGCCCTAATGGAACTATTTAGACTGTATACGGTTCTTGTCTTTCTCTCATGAATACCTTTCTACACTCCTGACTTGTAAATATAAATATAGGCTAAATTTGAACAATGCTGCCAATCAGAGGGTTTAGCAGAGAGGGACAGAAAAACAGCCTTTTTTGCATACACATTTAATGAAGGTCACATGTAAGGTTGCTGTTTTGTTGCTGTATTTTTTTAAAATTTGGATTGCTGACTGTTCTGTTGGAAATCAAGTGTTTCGTGCTGAATAGTCTTTAACTCTGCTCATACCTGGAGCAAGCTGGTTCATCATAATGTCCCGAGACCCTATAAGACCCAGGACTTGCAATTTCAGCTTATCTGATGGGGAGTATTCAAAGAGACGTGAACATGGCACCACACCTCAGCATCTAAGTGATTTGATTAAGTTGGCTTAGGGTGGATTTCAAATAATGGAATCGTCTCACTCCTGTGGGATAATCCCCACATTGAAATTTTCTGCTTGAATTCCCTGGGCTTGTGGTCTCCATTGCCGGACTCTGAAATGTAAAATAAAGGTGTAAGTCAGATAGCGCTGCTCATTAAGATGCACGGGCTGGATATAACCTCTCCTTCATGCTCAGCTCTGGAGAGCCACAGTGATTACTTTGAATTTGTGGATCTTTCAGATCTTGTGCCAAGGTAACGTCTGCCTAGCAGGCTGAACTTGTGGGAGTTGGTTAGATAATGGGGGGATGCTGAAGGTGCTTTCAAGTGGTGTCGTGCACCGTCTTGTTGGGTCACATATTTAGTGAACAGAGCAGCGGCAATTACTGCGGGGAAGATGACAGGAAATGTAGCGAGAGGACAGCTGCAGGCTTTAGTTTGGATTTGAGTCATTGTACTGTTGTGGTTTATAAACTGTTGATCAGTTTGATGGTTCCAGCCTTTGAGGTGTCAGAATGCATTGAAATCAGTTAGTGTCAACTATTATGTAAAATCTGTCTATGTTATCATTGGATGTACTTCACATTGAAGCTAATGACAATCTGTTTTTGCTGGATCTTTTACAGTGGAGGCCGACATATTGACC